CACACACACACACACACACACACACACACACACACACACACACACACACCTGCTGTCAGGCGTAGATTATGTCTGAGCTCCTCGTGATCACACGGGTGAGTGTACTCAAAGATGTTGTGTCCCATCAGCTCAGTCTGTCGAAAAACCAAGTGTGAACTAGAGAAGTTCATTTTAATTGCGAATGCTGAGTGACAGCTAGAATCTGCTGAGCAAGCTAAAACGGTCAAATTGAAAGTAGTAAAAGGCTAGCTCAAAGCTAAATGTTCTAAAATGCTAACTAGTAGGGGTATAAAAAATATTGGTACACTGATCTATCGCAATATTTCACTTCCTGAAACTGTATTGACTTTTATTTAAGGCTTAATGGGTGAAGGTGAGAAGAAATCTCACTGTTGTTCAGTGTTCTTTTGATTGGATAAAAATAAATTGAATTTAATCAGATTTTATGCATGTAATACATAGTGTGCTCTTTATGCTAATTTAAAAAAATTAGAATCTTCGGGGGGAAAAAAAAGGCAATGATCACCTTGTTTACAGAATCGTAATATATTGCGATATATCCTATTGTGACCCCCTGAATCATGATATCGTCAAATCCTTGCCAACGCACAGCCCTACTACACCCTAAAAATGTTCATGGTGTTTTGTTGATAGAACTTAACATGAAAACGTAATGTTATGCATTTAACTACTGTTCCCTGAAGGAAAGGAACGAGGTACAACACATCATGTATGGGAAACCATGCCCCTGCGTGTCCCGGCTCCTTGGAGCTGGCTACAGAGCTGGCGACGACACAAAGAGAGAAAAGACGTGTCCTGGTTTGCCCCCGCAGCAGCGGGGGCTTCTGGACTCGAACCGGGTTCATCGTTGTCTTCCGACAGACCATGCACATCCAGGCCGATATCCAGCACGTCCTCCCCTCCGTGGTGGAGGTCCAGATGAAACTGGGAGGCCTCCTCCTCTTCGTCGGCTAACCCCTCCATATACTCCACTTGGTCTGCCCAGCTGGAAGCGGGGACTTCGACCGAGAGCTCCTCCTCGTCAGACTCGGACGGAACCGGGTTACTAGACTCGGAGAGGAGAGGGTCCTGCCGCGCGACTACAGCCTCGCCCAGCACTTTCTCCAAGAACTTAAACCGTCTCTCCAGGGTTGAGCGTCGAAGCAGGCGGCAAAACGCACACGCTTCGGGCTCCGCCAACGCCCTACGAGCGTGGACGATCCCCAGACAGACCGGGCAAGCCTCGTGCTGGTCCTTTTCATGGAGCGAGAAGCCGCACCCCTGGGGACAGGGRCGAACTGAAGACTTCTGCTTCTTCTTGAGTAATTTTGTGCTCATCCCAAACCACAAAATTATCTCTTTCATCGAGGTAAGAAAGGTTTCTCAAAGTTAGCGCTCCGTGGGCAGACACAGTTACCAGTAGGCAGCTGCGGCTGACACCAACAAAAGCCGTTAAACTAAATCCGAGAACCTTCGAACAAACAAAGCTAATTAGCAGCAGCTAACTAGCTAGGTTGGAAGAGGTGGGTGTTCTTGCGAGGTGAAGAGCAATAGAACTAAGGAGTGACGGTGATGCGACAGTACATATATGTGCAGGAGGAGCCTGACATCTGTCGTCATTACGTCACCTGCCTAAAGGCGTGATTAGAGGTGGCTTCAGCCAGGACACGCAGGGGCGTGGTTCCCATACATGATGTGTTGTACCAAGTGAATTGACTGAAAGGGAACATTWTTCAGCATAAAATAATTAAGTTGTCTACTTGTACATGTTTCAGTGAGTTGGCTAATTATTTTTAAACGTCAGAGCACTACAATAAAAAAACAAAATAAATAAAAACAGAACTCCTCCTGAACTTAAATGTTTGAGTACACTGAACAAATACTTGTACGATCACTCAAAAACAGAACATGAAAAGTTACATTAGTAACTTTAAAAAAAACTGTGTGGATATTTGTGAGTATGATATATGTAAWAAAGTGAGTTAGAGTAACTGAGTTAACTTTATATTAACAAAAAATTAATAAATTAATATTTGCTTGCTTCAACTTAATTATACTTTAGGGGGGTAAAAGTAAATCATGTTGGTTTGATAACCAGTTGCATTAGCYGAACCTAAAATTACATAAAAGATGTGGGGTGTTAGGAAGTAGGAGAGTTGTTAGTTCAAAACCCCACTTCGTCCGTCTCTGTTGTTGTGTCCTTGAGCAAAACATCAGTGTGTGACTGTAGTGTAAGCTATAAAAGTTCAGACCATTTGTACTTAATGTTGGTAACTTAAAAACCTGAGTGGAAATTGTTGCAACAATGTTTTTTAAGTTTAGCCAACAAAATATTTTTAGAGTGTAATAAGAAGCCAAAAGCAGCAAAAAGGGCAGGTTAAAAGCAGCAAAAAACACTATAAGACAAAATAGATCCAGTATGATGAAGCAGATTTCAAACATTGTTTTTGAATGAAATGAACTAAAGTACAGTAGTCAAATTGCAAAAACATACAAAAAATAAATATAAAGAAGAAAACTATAGTGTGCCTCTTGACTCAGAATGAATATTTACAACCTAAAGCATTGCTCCTTTTACATTTGATTTTCTCACCTGGGTCAAACCCATGTACTTGCTGACATTTTCCGACAAAAAGATCATGTCTCCTGAGGTGGACAGGACCATCAGGAATCCCTCCAGGACCTTCAGGTACATGTTTGTTTCGTCCAACGGCAGAAAGTCATCCGTCTCTTTCGCCATCTCACAAATCAGTTCCTGTCCTTTTTTCATCTCGTGTTCAAACCTCACTGCCTGTCTGAGCTCTGGACTTATCCTGTCAGTTTCTGGAACAGAAGAAGTGACAGACTTGCATGAGATTGTGTTAATAATTGGTTTATTTCGTGAGTAACCTTTCTACTGTAAGCGTGACAGCAGGTGAACAAAAGGATGTGGTGTAGTTTTCAATGTCTACTGTGTTTTAGGTGTTACTGAGGACTTCCTCTGCCACCCTAAAATAAACCACAAGCCGTTTATTTATCTTTTCGTTTTTAGGCAGAAATCAGAATACAACTGCGTATTTGCATTTTTATTTGTTACCGCTCTGTTTTTTACTCGTTTCTCAGTTTTAGCTTTACATTTGCAATCTGTAAATCCATTTTTTGACTAGATATAGCTTCAGTGCATTTCCAGCCTAAATAAATGATTGTTTAGTGAAAATGATATAATTTATTTATTATTTTACTSAAGTCATTAATGTCCAAATTGAACTTTATCACTTTTATTCTTTACACATCCAGTACATCTCTTAAATTAATTAATTACCTAAGCAATAAAGCTTTTAACAGTATATGATTTATTCTGAAGTGTGATTTATACATGTAGTTTGTTCCGCTTGTCGACCACATAAATATTCAGATGGTGTTAGATGTAGGGGTTAGTCGGTGTTGTTACCTYGGAGCAGCGCGTTCATGCGTATGTAGCTCAGGGTGAGGCGGATGACGGAGGGCTTGTCCAGGTTGGACCGCACGGAGGGCTGCAGCGGCAGGAGGCAAGATAAATCGCCGAACACGTCCGATTCGACGCGCCGCCTCCGTCTGGCCGCCTCGCGGCTGATTGCTCTGCAGACAGGAAGTTTTTAAAACTTTAACAGGTTCCAAAATACTCAGATGTGATGAACCATAGAACAACTGAAYAAGGAAAAAATGTATTTCTAAGACTTATTAGATTTATTTTTGCCTCAAATCTTATGTTCAGCAACACCTACAGCGGAACCATTAGCACACGGTTGGGGATCAAAGTAGAAGAGAAATTAGTTTCTCAACTTTTAACTTGATGACACAGTGACTTTTTGGCCTTATCTGAAAGGAATTTAAAAGATTTCTCAACATGTGAGGAACTTCCTTTTTTAAAAAACTGAATTTTACATGTAATTTTTTCAACTTTATATTTCAATTTTAGGCTTTAAATGAACATTTAATAGTTTTTTTTTCCACTTAAAAAAATCTGTGGTCAAGATTTTAACCAGTTGCCCCACTGTGGCCACACTACCAGCCTTAGCCTTGCAACATCCCCTCACTTACCAACCACAGACGCAAACCAACAAAAGCTCTCTGACAATTCTGGTTTCAACAGATTTACCTTCTCTTCTCCTTGTCAGCTGTCATTGCATCCCCACCACGTCAAGTCTCAAAGCTCAAGGTCTCCTGCAGCACATGCGACTTGGACAGACTCCAGCGAGCGTCTCCTCTCTCCTTTCTTGCATGCAAATCATCTTTCGGGCCTCCAAAATTGAGCAGAATGATAGGTCAGCCGGCGAGGGAAAGCATCACCCTACTCCCTCCTTCCGCTCCTCCCTTTTCTCACTTGTACAAAACCTATTAGCATCGCACAGATTTGCCTCTGAAGAGAGGCAGCCACGCTTTGGATTAAAAAAAATGGAATTGAAAAAGAAAGCGGAAAAAAAAGAAGAGACAAAAGCGTCTGGGATTGATGTAGACAGCTCAGTGTTTTATTGGAATCAGACCAGACAGGACTAGCCCGGCTGTTTGCACTACATTTTGGCACAGAGTAAGATAGTGTGACCAGGAACAGCCATACCCCTGGGTGCACGAAGCGTCACTACACACCGACTCTACTGCACAGACAGCAACCAGCCCGTCCTCGGATCACTGTACAGTACACGCGACAAGAGTCCTTCTCTGTGTGTGCATGTGTTTGCAAGAGAAAGAGACATCGAAGAGGGGAGGATGGATGGGGGCGGGAGGAGAGAGCAAAGGGGAGAGTCTGTGTGTGGTGTTTAGTGTTTGTGTTTGGCATGAGAGGTAATTCAGCTGCTGGCTCTCAACAATTCATAACAACCGGCTGTAACAGACCTATAATGGTATAGTTATAGTATTATACATAAAGGTTTCCTCCAGATACACTTTACAATAATAATAATAATAATAATAATAATTTTAATAATAATAATAAAAAAGAGAGAGCAACAAGAAATATAAGCCATCTTGAAAAAAAAAAGAAAGCAAAAATGAGACAAAACTAGTGGTTTTGGCTGAAAGATGGAGAAAAACAGCTGCTGCAGGTGGGGAACAAAAAGATTTGGAGCTTTGGAGGAGAAGGAAAACAAAATCGGACAAAGTTACGACACGAAGAGAAATCAAATTCACACATTCATGCCCACAAAAATGTACATTCACGATTCAAAAATAAACCAAAACAATAAAAAAATGAAAAGAACGAGGCCCACGCTCCAACACATCCACACTAACTGGACAGGGACTGACTGAAGCCGACAGATGGGTGAAATAGCTGGACGCCGGAGTTTTTTACTGCTACACAGGCCGCCTGTAACACTCTGCTCCACATAATTAGTTCAATAGCCTGTAACATTCACTTTATATACAGAGGATAGGAGCGCAGACACTGCAACAGTAACAGGAGACTCTCAACCACTCATTCCAACAACAACAAAAACACTTAGAGGGAGGGGCAAAAATGAACAAACAAACTTTAAAATATATAGATAGTCATGGTATTGCACAAAGAATATTTGGCCCTAACTGGTCCACGATAAGGACAGTAATAACACAGGTAGGGTGCTTGTCCATGCGCCACGACGCCCCTTTAGTAGCAGACGATACCGACACGATACAGCCACTCAACACGGGCTATTTACAAGCCTCAGCACCTTTCAGTCCACGTGTGTCCAGGTGCCGGAGAGAGAAGCGGAGTGAACGTGCGTGTGTCTGCTTGTCTGTTGGAGCGCGCTGGTGTGTACGAGCATGTCCGATCTGTAGTGTGAAATCTGCAGAGACTGTGTGTGCATATTCATATTTATCTTCATAGTCATATTCACAACAAACCCAGGCAACAGGGACGACACAATGCAAGTAAATAATATTCCAGAAGTAACAACAACCAATAGCTTCAAAGTAAAGGATTGACCGCGCGTGTGTGTTTTGTCGACGGTTTCATGGTTCTGCTGAGCCTAAGCATGCCAGGTTCAGCGCAGTGAGAGGTGTGCGTTTGTGTTGGTTAGGCATGCGTCTCCTCGGGAGCGCAGTAGGAGAAGTCCTTGAACTCCTCCTGGTTGATCTGTCGGATGATGGCCTCGTCCGTGGGCGTCAGCACCGGGTCCTCCCTGGTGAAGTCCTGGTCAAAATTATTCACATCTCGCTTGGTTTTCTGCAGAAACAAACAATCAAACACACACTCACACTCAGGAAGGAGTCAGAAAAGCCACTATGTTCTCGTGGCTAGCAAATGAAATCACAGTGACACCTTCTGGCCAAAGAGGCTCACTGC